TATATATATATATATATATATATATATATATATATTACAAGGCATGGCAAGATAATGTATAATGGAAAACATTGGTGTTGCATCCCGAGGAATAGTTCGTGAAGTGCTCACAAGATACAACTATCAAGAATGGAAAACTCTAATGGAAAACTATTTGAGGGGGGAAAATCTGTGGGAAGTTGAGGAGAGTGATTCTGTTTTTGATGCACAGAGAAACGCAAAGGCTCTGCATATTATTCAACTATCATGTGCACCAAATATTTTAGATCAAATTAAACACTTTCAAACTTCCCACATAGCTTGGAATCACTTGGCTGATGTCTGCAGGTCTGAGTTTAAAGGTCAACTGCATATTCGATACGGTAATAAGTGTTTAGATGCATCTTCAAAATTTTTTTATACAAAGTATATATTTACACATAATATTAACTCAAAAATATTTATTTATGTTTTAACGTGAATGAGACGCACACAGGTGTTATATCCGACAACCTTAGAGAGCACAAAGCTTTATACAAGTTTGTGGAAACTGGTGATTGGGAAGGCACGAGCTCATTCTTGAGGGATCAACCGAATGCCATATTTTGGGCTCCGCCTTCAGGTAGGACGGTTCTTCATGTTGCAACAATAGAAGGACATATGAAAATTGTGTAGGAGTTAGTGTACTTAGGGAAGAAGCAATTAGTAGAAATGCAGGATGAGGATGGTAATACTGCTCTTGCTCTTGCTGCTATTTATGGAGACATTAATATAGCAAGACGTTTTGTAAATGCGGAAGGTGGCGAAGAATTGCTTGCTATACAGAACAAAGAGGGTGAGATCCCTCTTCTTATGGCTGCTAATTCAGGACGCAAAAGAATGACTCGTTACCTTTACCTTAGAACTTCTTCCCATGTCATTGATCAGCAGTCTTCACATAATCGAGTTTTGCTTCTGGAACGATGCATCCAAGCGCATATATTTGGTAAGCAAATGAGCTCCACATCCATATACATCCATATACGGTGTTTCCCTCACTCTCTTCTCCAACCCTCCATCTTCCTCTCCTTCACCATTTCAATGATCCTTTGATTTACGACACACACATATATGTTTAAGAAAAAAGAAGTTAGAAAATGGTTGCATGGTTTCAACTCGAAGATGTGGCTTTGAAATTGCTTAAATCTTACGAAGAACTGCCCATTGAATCCTTACCTATCTTGCACCAATTGGCTCGAATGACTTCTGCACATTTACAGCCCAGTCTTTGGCAGACAATAGTTTACAGTTTGAAAAATGGTAAGATTTTCCTTTTTTTTTTACCTAATGCTTTCTTTTTTCTCTTGCATTAATTAGACAAGTTAGATGCTCTTTTCAACATAAAACAACATATTTTAATCATTTTAACTGTTATATTTCTTACTCACTTATGCAAATATGTACGTAATACAGTAGCTAAAATACTAGTAAAGGAGAAAGTAAAATAAAATTATAGTAGAGAAAACGTATTTTCAAAATAGATGGAAAATAATAATAAAAAAAGGTTAAAGGGTTATCTTCACTTACTTAATTGAGTGGAAAATATAGATAAAACAAATAAATTTGATGAAAAATTGTATTAATCAACAATATTATAAAAATATATTAATTTTACAAAAGAGGTTTATAAGAAATTGATATCGTTATATAAGATTGCTTTATATGATGATAATTTTCTTGAAAAAATATTAAAATTCAAGTTGAAGAATGAAGGAAACATATGGTTGAAGAATAGTTTATAACACCAACAACGTTTAACTATTTAGCACAAAAGACATGCGACTGACTTAAACTTCTTCTTATAGTACTTTTATCAATATATTATATATGTTGATAACAAATGCTACATAAAAATATTCTGAGAGAAATTAACTGTTTGAAAATGATAGTCTGATGCTTTTTTATGAGGTATATAGTTAAAATTGGATAATTTTATAAGAAATAAAAATATTTAAATATGTTATTAATTACATGATGGTATATGTGTCAACCAAGGAATTTTGAATTTACAGACTAATAATATATATAGTAAGATATACAATTTAACTTATGAGTGTAACCAAGTTCTATTCAATCTACCAAGTTGAATATTTGGTTGAATTGATTTAATTTAGTGTGTCTAATTAAAATTAAATTGATAATGTGTTCATGAGTTAAACTGGTTGAGTCAATCTAATTTAATTTCATAATAAACATATAAAATAAACAGGCATGCTCAATTTCATATCTTGTATCCATTTTTGGATCATATTTAGTAAATTTGATTTTTGAAAATTATTTATTTGATGAACTAACTTCAATTTGAAATAATATTTAGTAAATTGTAAAATAAATTTATAATCATTAAATATGGTCAAAGTATATAAACTGATTATGTCGATATGGATTTTAAAACAATGTTTGTTAAGAATTAAAGATGTGATGATATTTTTTATTGTTTGATTTGAATTCCAAATCAAGTTGGATTAGCTTATTAAACTCATAAAAAAAATACAAACTCAAACAAAAATTGATTTAAAATTACATTAATGGTAAATATTCAGATTCATTAATTACAATAAATTCTGTCTACGCAGTCTAACATTCAGGAAGGTTAATTCTGAAATTGTTTGTTGGTTCAAATGATCAAATGTCTAAATATCTTTTGTTAGTAAAACCAAACCATAAGTAATTTTGTGTTCTCTCCCATTGTTTCAGAATCGACAATTATGGATTCATGTGGACTGAAATCTCAAAATAGAGAGAGAGTACTTGGACACAAGAATGAATTTCTACAAATATTATGGTATTATAAAGATATTATTTCGATGTTTAATAGTTCACAACTCAGGGAAGCTTTGGTGTATGATGCCATGTTGGAAGCAGCAAAGCATGGAAATGTTGAGTTCATAAATGATATGAGGGAGGCTAACCATGACGTCTTACGGGCAATGGACAATCATGGAAGAGACATATTTTCGTATGCGGTTCTTCATCGCAAACACAATGTGTTCCAACTCATGCATACTCTCTGTGGAAATAAGGACATAATTAGCTATACAACAGACATGTTTGACAATAACCTATTGCACTTGGCGGCACATTTAGGACCTTTGTCCGATCTGAATCTCAGACCCGGTGCTGCTCTCCAAATGCAAAGAGAAATTCAATGGTTTAAGGTGCATTCATCTTCATTAGTTTTCTCTCTCTCTAGTGCAATATATAGTCCATGCATACATTAACGTGGATGAAATGAGTGCAGGCAGTGGAGGAAGTTGTGCATGTGAAATGTAGAGAAGCCAAAAATGATGAGGGTAAGAAGCCTGAAGAGATGTTTAATGAAACTCACAAGGAGCTGATGAAAGATGGAGAAAAATGGGCAAAGGAAACAGCTGGGACATTTGCAATTGTGGGCGTTCTCGTTATAACTGTCACGTTCGCTGCACTCTTCACTGTCCCTGGGGGTCTCCATGAAGACACTGGAATGCCGACTTTGATAAAGGAAAAACGGTTTACTGTGTTTATTGTAGCTGATGTAATCTCTTTCTTGGCTTCTATCATTACAGTATTGATATATATTGACCTTCAAACATCGCGCTATGCTGCAACAGACTTCCTAGAAAGATTGCCCACCAAGATAATGTCTGGGCTTGGGTTCCTTTCCCTGTCCCTAGTGTCCATGATGATTGCCTTCTGTGCTGCTCTTGGAATAGTTCTACAAAAATCAAGCTTGTACAAGCACCTCTTTGTAGGAGTCATCATATTGGCAGGCATTCCCTTCATTTTACTCATACCCTCACTGCTCAGACTCCTACTTCAGATTTTCCCATTTATAACAAAAAATCCCATCACCATTCACCACAAGTCAACCTTCATCGGAAAATTTTTTCGTAATCTGTTATTGTTGCCTGTCAAAGCATGCCGACATTAAGTATCATTTCAAATTATTAGTTAATGTTTTAATTTTTCTCTATTGTTAGTCACGTTAGATTATGTTGAACGTGTGTGCATTTGTTTAACAGTTTTTTCTGTTTTCCTGCTGCCGATTAGCCATGTTTTTAGGACGTTATTTATTTTAATTACTCATTTAAGTTGAAAGTTTGATATTTTTGCTGCCTTTACAATTTGTTATTTTGCTTTTATTCAATATCTATATCTAAAATCCATTATTATTGAATAAATTTATTATTTTTCCTGCGTGAGTTGATCGTGCTTTCACCAACAAATTGGTATCATGAGTCTAAAGAGGGATACAAAAATCTATAATTTTTTCGGATAATCTCCGAAAAATATACTACCTGCGGATAAAAAAATGTTAAAAAAAACGCGTCACTAAATAATTACTTACAGTTTTTTTAGAAACCACAATTTTCACATATTAGTTCTATGTAAGAGTCTTGTTCGTAGATTTTCTTTTGTACTGCTTACTGTTCGTACTTTCAATTTATTTCTGCAAGATGTTTCCACGCCCTCAACGCTGAATATATAATAATTTAAACTCATTATATATAGTAAGTTAAAATATATGAATATGTTTCTCACATTAAATTTATAAATAAGCTAACAAGGAATAATACTTTTTGTTTCAGTGGATATTCTTGTGGGATCGAGACACTAACCTTTATAATGTGTTCTCCTTATCTCCGAACGCCTGGATTATCGAAGTCGCTCGCTTTCCTTCAGTCTGAGCCGCTCGCTCCTCTACGACCACTCGTTCTTCAGTGGGGACCGCACGGTTGCCTTCTGGACAGAGGGGGAGGTACCTGCAAAGACACTCCGACACTCAAGTTAGACGTCTGTTGCTCACAAATGAATATTATGGTAATTGAGTATTATGAACTCAGTAGAGCGTGAGTAGAATGTAAGTGGAACATACCTGGCTTGTAGCCTTGGTCATGTATTTATAGGTTATCACGAGTCTAATAAAATATAAACAGACTTACCTTAAAATCCGGTTGGTTGCTCATAAACAGCTTTACTAAACAGCTTTACGAATATCTTTAATCAGATATCGCTTTAATTATTTTATCGTCTGCTAGACTATTGACCCAATAATAACTTAAACATTGGCCTAATTATGGGCCAACATTTGTTGTAGCGGTTGGACCGAATGACTTTGAGTGGATGAACCGAACGACCCATATTGCATACCATACACTTTTATTAAAATTATTTTAAATATTAAAATTTAAAAATTACAAGTGTCATTTTATATTACATTTTTAATATTTTTAAAAAAATTATAAGTTTAAAATAGGGAATTTTTTTATAACTAAACATATATAAAATAAAATTAATTTCAAAATTTAGGTAGAGTAATTTGATGTACAAATTAGAAAAAAATTATTTAAATTATAATTATATACAAGTTCTAATTAAGAATATTAATTTGATCTCATTTTGGAGAGTTAACATTGTTTCTCTTAAAATAATGGAACTATATTGAGTCCAAATTTTAAATATAGAAACTAAATTAAATACAAAACACAATCACGTGACATTAACATTAATACAAGAACTCTAGGAATACATACCACGTGACATTAACCCGTTTTCAACCCACAAATATTTAAAAAATATATTTTGTGAATTTTTAAATAAGGTTTAATTTAAATTACAAGTTAAATAGAACAATTTATTATATTTGCTACATATTAAAAAGACAAAATGTAATTTTTAAACAAGTTAAAGAAAACAAATACTGAACAACTTTTGAAAAAAAAAATAAAAGATATGAGGAAGAAACACCCAGTAATTGAAGTCTCAATTTAGTCACAGGACTAACCCAAAAATACCTATCAATGTATGAAACAAAGATATAAAAAATTTCTAAGAGAGCGCAAACAGGAACCCTGAACCCAAATTCCGAAAACAAATAATCTCTAAACCGCGATAACCACTAGGGTGTTCAAATATCCAATCTGCATTAATGAACTAAAATCCAAAAAAACTCAAAACAGTCATTTGAATCATAACCCCAAAATCACGTCACCGATCAACAGGGAAGAAATCAAGAAACGAACTCCCAAAACGCGAATAAAAAAGAAACCCCAAAATCAGAGAACAAATAAAATCCTAATTTCAAATCCCAAATCGGAATAAAGCCCCAATCAGAACCAAGAGAGAGAAGAGGGAATGGAGGCTACGCGAGCTGAACCAGAAGGAAGAAGAAAAGAGTCCTCCATGGATTCTATGTATATGTCTAATATCTCTATTAGGGTTAGGTCAAAAGTAATATAACCCTTTTTTTTCTCTTTTTCTTTTAGAAAAAGGTAATTGAAAGGAATCCTAAGTCATTGTTATTAAAATTTCCCTTTTTTAAGAATAAAAAAAAATTAATTTTCAAAAAATATTAATTAAATTTTTATTATTTTTTTCGGGTAACGGGTATCTGCGGGTTGGATAGTATAATACTTGCATCCGACCCGTTTAGAAGCATGTATTAAAATAACCGCTACCCGTTACTTGCGGGTAATAAATATCCGCGGATAGTAACTATCCGTCGCGGATTTTATCCGCGGATATCTTCGGGTGCAAATTTTTTGCCATCCGTAATGACATAACAATATAGGGTTAAATATATTTTTAGTCCCTCAACTATCAAGCGATTTCATTTTTCGTCCCTCTTTCAAACTTTGGTACACTTTTATCCTTGTCCTTAAGGAAACTATAATTTTTCGTCCTAAAAAACTAACATTGTTTAAAATAGACTGAGCTAGCCAAGTCACTTTTCACTTTAATCAAACGTGTCAATCCTCTCTCTTCTTACTTCCTCTTTTGTTTGTTCCTTCAACAGTTGTAGCTCTGATGGCCATAAAGGGTAACTTGACTGACCCTTATAAAACATTATGGAAAATTGGGATTCTAGTTTTGTTGATCCATGTAGCTGGAGAATGGTCACGTGTTTCTCTGATGGCTCCGTTTCTACATTGTCGTGGCAGTGCTGGCATTAGAATGTAAAGAGCTTGCTTGACCAACATTTTATTTTCAAGAGCTTGCTTGATATGCCTCCAAGAAATGGCAAACATTCACAAAGGCCCATTGTTTATTGGTTGTGTGTTCTCGCTTAAGATGATTCCACCCAAACTTTATCAGTTCCTTCCTATGATGGACAAGATCATTCTGAAGATATTTAAGAAGAAATGTAACAAGCTACAATAGTTCTATTCTTAATGGCTCATCAATGCCATATGTTCGACACAATGCCTTTTAGAAATTTGCACTCATGGGTCGCACTCCTGCGTGTGTGTTGCAGTACGAAGCTCTTTGAACGAAAACCTTTTTAAATGACCAAGACGCACCTCTTGTGTGTTGTCACAGTATGATGATGAGCAACCCACTTTTTGCAAATTTGCCATAAAGTTTACTGATAGAACATAAGAGATAAAAAGAAAAGGAATTATAAAAAGAATTATACCCGTTAACATCAAAGAATATCTGTTGGTTGCGTCTATATCGCCACCAAACAAGAAACCCAACTATACTCACAATGACAAATGCAGCACCAGAAATAACAACAATGTTCTTTATTAAAACCACACTATAAAAACCACACTTTTTTTTGCCATTTAGAAATCCTTAAACGCAGAACTAGAAATAATAACAATGTTCTTTATTAATCCCATTTTTGTTTAATGGTTGAGTGGAGTATCCTTTGTCAATATGTGTTCTCTTCTCTGTCTTCTCAGTTCTAGGTTGTGACAACTTGGCAGCTGTTAAACCCTCGACAAGTGTAATCGAATCGTATCAAGTACTAATAAATGGTGAGACCAAATATCGTTTCCCAAGAGACTCACGACACTAAAGAATTATGTGATTACTTAACTAATTAAGACTGTAAAGAACATATTTTGGGGTTTTTGAATGCAAATGCAATAACATAAACATGAATGCAATTTGATAATTGAGGTTAAACAGAAGAAAGAATGGATGAAGTTGATGATATTGTCGTTAGGGTTTAGTTTTCACCTAATTTACTCTCATGCATATATGAATTCATCTTTCTTTATTAATGTTAATGTCACTCTCTAAATTACCTTAAACCCCGATGTCTCGGCAAAGAAAGCCTAATCATAATCACTAGTTTACAATGTCTTGTCTCCCTAGAAATTATTCATGCATTACACAACACAGAAGCTTAAAGGCAACCAACCATCATATCCCTATGTCTAGGCAATACTACTATTGGGAGAGATTCCCCAGATCTCGATTTCCCCGTATGTGTCCATATCGACAAAATTAATAATCATGACATCAAATGAGTTAAACAATGCATGCTTAGAGCAAAGAGGAAAAACTCTAACTATTAATGAAAGAAAGCATATATCTTAAAGATCTTAAAGAACAAATTCAATACATGAGAGTTTACAAAAGTTACATCTTTCCCAACAACAATAAGGTTTAGCCCTCCATCGTCATGGAAAAGCTAGATGAATAATGGAATGAAAGAATGAAAGAGATAGAAAAACCCGAGAAAGAGAAGAGGAGAGCCGTCACCATCTCCAAATCTACCCCCAAGGGGTGAAAAATGTGTTTCTATGCTTAAGCCATCAAAAGATACTAACCCTAGGACATCCAAGTCCTTAAATAGAACAGAAAATGGGTCCAAGCCCAAAACAGATCATAAAAATTACAGAAAATTGGCCCAAAGCCCAATAAAGTGGCGCTCAGTGGTAATTACCGCTTAGCGGTAAGTGCGTTTCTTCTATTTTGCCCCTTAGCTGCAATTTTGCCCCTCAGCTGTGACCGCGGGTCTTCAGAGTGCCGCTTAGCGGTAATTGGCGTTGAGCGGTACTTGCGGCTCTTCTTTAATGCGCTTTTTCTTTATTTTCTGAATCCAACTACTGCCTGTTTCACTTCTTTCACTCAATTCATCTTAAAACCTGCAAAAACAAGGAAAACCGAGCATAAAACCCATCCAACTCTCTTATTTCAAAAACATAAGCAAAAACATGATTCCAAGCTAGTTTCTAAGTCATAAAGGGTTTTTTTAATATCAAA